GGAACTTGAGTGCTTGATCACGCCTGGGACAGATCTATGCTTTGCCTGAAACCTTGCGCCATCTGTAACCAGCGTAGCAGGCTTTTAAAATTCTTCAGGCCTAAGCTCCCAAAACCCACGAGCCGCACTAGCCGCACAACGAAATCCTTGCAATGCAGCGCCTGCTTTTTCAGAAGCTTACAAGAAAGCTGCTAGCAATGTAACCCTCAAACGCTAAACAGTGGGATTTTCTTTGTCTCTCATCCATTTCTGGTGTCATTGGCATGGGCATGGACTTCCGGATCTCCATGGCTCCCTGAACCAGCACCGACCCCCCAAACAAGCAGCTTCTGAAAACACTGGGGTCTGCAACAGGCCCCTTGGAAAAGGATTGGTTTATGGCATGAAGTGTTCGACAAAGCTTAGGTTGCAGCGTCGAAGGTGCATTTGGGCCGAGGTGCAGTGTCTGCGCAGGACGTCGAAGAAGACATCGTCCGAGACATTGGAATCTCGCGAGAAACCAAAGTACAAATACCGAATTCTGGAACAACACCAGACCCAACACAGCCCCAACCCTGGCTTGAGGTACCGATGAGACATCCCTTCAAGACAACACGTGGGTGGTAGCCACGGGACAAGCGGAATCGGAATGGCCATATGCGCATCGGATCGTTTTTCGCACAAAGGTGCGACTTTCGAGATGCTCTCTGCATAAGCCGGCGACCTGTGCAGAAATACTTCTGCATAAACGACATAGCTACGCCGAAACTATGCAGATAGCTGCCGAGGTGTCGGAGTCTCGGAGCATAGTCTCTACCCCCACGAATTTCTCACCCAGACTAGTGGCTTCATAAGAACGGTGGCGATCTTACACATTTTGGTTGGTGCGCCTCACGGCTCAAATTTGCGGGTGGGAGGGTGGTGAATGAGTGAAAAGTCGCAGATCCTCGCAAATCATTGTCTGGGATTTCCGCATCCTGTGACTGCCCTGGCCGCTGCTTCCCTTCCCTGGCCTTGGCCGTTGGCCGGGTTCCTTTTTTCCCGTGGGGCAAGGCTAATTAACACACAAATCCATGTAAAGTTTTCTGTGTTCAACAAAACCGCTGTGCGATTCTCAACATTACATTGTATTGACTGAAACCACATTCAAACATAAACCCCCTGCATGAATTCACACCGCGCGCACCTGCTTCCAGCAAGCAAAAGCTTCGTTTGCCAGTTGAGTCCAGCTCATCCTTTGCCAGATATGGGCGGCGGGTTCTAGTTTCGGATTCGGGAGATGTTCAGGTGTGTTATAGTTCGTTCATGGCACGGGGATATGGACAGAGTATGGGTTCAGAAGGGTTCACGGAACCCAACGCAACTAAAAGCAATGGAGTGTACAGAGGATGGTCCATGGGGTCGAAGGACAAAACAGCACACGGGATTCCGCAAAGCTGAGAACGACCTGGGATTACTAGACCCTGAACTCTAAACACCATTAAACACTCTGGGCTTTGCAAGGATGGGATGCGTGGGTATGCAACAAAGGCGTACAGCGGCGTTTCGGGTTCAGGACGAAACAAGCCGTGCAAAGGATGTTGCATCAGCTAAGACTCGTGAAACATGATCGGGAATTATGGGCACACAGCACTGGCTTCAAATTTCGGGGCGCCGGAAAGAAGTGGCAACCAGAAGGGTTACGAGGCCACATCGATATTACCGAAGCTCGAAAACCCCTGAATGCCGTGAGCTACATGGGACCATTGGTCTTTCCGCACGCACCCCGAACCGCGGCTGAGACTTTTCAAGCCAATATATATATATATACATGTATTTATTTGTTTATATATATATATATATATGTAGACGCTTGAAAGGATTCCGGAATGTGAGGTTCAGAATCTGAAGGGCCCTTCGGGTCTGGGGTTGACCTCCTGCTGAGGTGACGCCGTTCCATGTTGTTGTACAGGATGTGACTGGGGTAGCTTCTACTTTAATACCATGCAGTTCGGCTGAGGGTGAACCCTACAGGCCACAAAACTCAGAAGAGCTAAGAAACAACCTTATAGTACAGGTGGAAGCTCGAGAGCTTCACGGCTTAGGGCTGAACAGCCTTCACCCTTTGCCGAAGTCCGAAGGTCAGGTCCGGAGGTTGAACATTTGTAGCCACCAGCTGCCAAAGTTCTAAACCCTGAGTCCTGACTAAGACGTTAAGTCCTGACAAGCCAGAAACTGCAATGACCACATAAGCACATCCAAGGGAGAATGGCCAGAAGAACTACGCTGTGGTGTCGTGTACGGATTTGCAACGCTGGTGTACAGCTCAACCCTTTAAGTCCTGTCCCAAACTTGTAAGCCTTCCTCCTAGACCCTAACCGTGAAGCCATCCCATAGAAACCAACATCCCTATAGAACCAAAGAAGCCAACATTCTACGAACCCCCCTCCCCCCACCCCGCCTCCATCTCCCGGCTGTCCCAGGACTGGTTGCCACGAACGAAAATCCTGCAGACCATTTTGGGGAAGGGTAAAGCTCTGTCCCCAGTGCTGGTTGGGGTTTGATAGGATGAAGCCGTGAAAAAAATAAGGCTTTGGGGCTTAAGGTTTGCAGGCCAGCCTGGGGTCCACAGGCTCCCGGGTTTCAGGTTTAGTGTTTCGGCTCTTGGCTTCCTCGTTTCTGATGCTTCCAGAAGCCTTCGGATTCCTCATTACTCTATGCGGGCTCGAAAGGGCACAGGTGGGTTCGCGACCCCAAGTCCGAAATCTGTAGCTGTAGCTATAACCCTGTACTCTCCGTCCTCGTCGTCTGCCCTGTCAAAGCCCTCAACGCCCAGGCTGTTGAACATCCCCGGAGCCGACTGTAGCCTGATCTCTGGATCAGGGTTTGAGGTTTCAGGCTGACCTACCAGACTGCACACAGCGAATTAGCTTAGCGTTCAGGGCCCACGATCTGGAGCTTACTCAAAGACTGAAAGCACTACAGCCACAAGGACTCGGGTTTCAACAGAACTGAGCAATGGCATCGAAGATTAGAAACAACGACCGGCAAGGTAAACAAAGTCAACACAAATTAACTAAGACTTCACGACCGAAGATGCGACCTCCCCCCCAAAAAAAAACAGCAATATCTGTTGTTGACTTCAAGAACCCATGAACGGAAGCCAAGGGAAACAATCGGAGACAAGTGTCGAAAACCCTGTCATGGCCGCCCCTTCGGCATTGTTCTTCAGGTTGAAAGAAGCAGAAAATTACACCTGCTTAGAAAAACCCTCAACATAGATAACCATGTCGTAATCTACGGAATTCCCACGAATTTTGCCTTCATATTACCTGCCTGATACCCCGGCACAGATGTTTCCTTTCATGCAACAATCTACTGGTTTGCGGGTTTTCCCTCACCTTGATTTACCACTGTTTCGCCTTGCCGCCGTGAAGGGCTTACCTTTCCATTTCATAGCCCTCGCGTTCTTCGAAGACGATAAATACACGGCAATCTAGGTAAGGGTGGGCTGTGGCTTCGGACTTTAGCATAAATTCTACACTGTGTGGGTGGATGGTAGAGGTAGAGGAGCCTGAGTCGTAGTGCTCCAGCCCCCAAGCGGCAAAAATCTCAAAGCTGGAAAGCCAGAACGATGGAGTGACGAGTAGGTGTCAGTGTGGATCAAAGGTGACCAAGGGGTCAATCGAAGGTGCAGGACAGATGAGTCGCCAGCAGTACCAGAAGGTGCACGAACGGAAGGCAAGAAACCGGCATACCTACATCTAACACTCTGAAGCCGAAAATCTAAACCCAAAATCTAATCCTGGCCGTGTCGCTACCGCAAAGTTTCGCAAAGGCCTGCTTCGCGACGGATGCACGCGAGAAAGGACTTTGGTCGTGCTGCGCTGCAGCTGTGTACCACTAGTTTAAGATTCCCTGATATGTACATATGTATATGTATAAGGAATACTCGAATACAGTGAACGCAAGCGGTTAAAATGTATTGAAGACCCGACATAAAATCTGAGGCAGGGAAGGACAGTGACAATGCAATGCACCCGTTCAAGAAACAGCGTGGGAGCTTGACGCGACGTCCTAAGGCTCAACGGCTCTGAATAAGTGTTCTTATAATGTGTAAGTTTAAGATGCAAAGTCTTGGACATCTGGATGGTTTGGGATCGTAACTGTAGATTGCATTCCAACGAGATAAATACACGCAAATTTCGTATAACCATTCCGGCGACTGGACCCCGCAAGAACTGCCTTCTCGATGAGCAAAGGAAAGAGCTCCTGGCAGCAGATGCAATTCTTGAGGCCAGCTGGCGGTTTATTTTTGAGGATCTTAACTTTTGCATTTGGCTGCATCTCTTGTAATCAGCTTCACAGAGGCTGGCATGCTCGTCAATCCTGGACGGGCTGAAGTCAAACACCACTCAGACTCCCCGTGGGTCAGAGTGACCGGCGCCACCACATCAATCCGATAAAGCTTCCCAGGTCTAGGCCATAATCTAATCGCTAGAAGACACACACACACACACGTGCTGAATACGTTTTGGCACGTCTGTGTCAACGTATATATACATAACTGTACATATCTAGATATGAGTGTCAGTGTGGGCGTTGATCAATATTCTTCTTCTAGAAATGGCTTCTGCGCGTGCTGTCTTTCGCGGACCCCTCGCAAATCTGTCGCATACACATGGCATTAAATCTTCAAGCCTTTTGGTTCTTTAAACAACCCCAAAGATTCTTATCAGATCAATGCTGCTGTTTCTTCACATATTTGTATGTATACACGTAGATCTCTGTATGCAAGTACATATACATTTATCTATATATATATATATATATGTACACACACATATATATATATATATATATACATACATACATACATACACATATCTGCATATTTGCATGTATACAGTATACATTCAATCACTGGGTCCCGGGGTGTTACTAATGCTTGAAATCGGTCTCTGAACAGAGCACAGAACAAACTCAACTGGTATCTATAACCCCATAGACCACTACGTACCTAAACCTTACACGCCTAGACTTCAAACCCTGAAAACGGAACCCTTCACCCTCGGCCAAGAAGTCCTGCGTCTGGAGACCGATAGGCCTAAAAAGCTTGCTGTTCTCGTATGCCGCCCTCTGGCAAGGTATCCGGTCCTAGGCTCGGTTGAGGGCTTCCGGTCCCAGCCCCGAGCCATGTCGTAGGGCTTGGAGAAGGATATTGCCAAGAAGGTTGAATCTATATATGGCTGGCTCGCATGATGCAGGGATTGGAGTTCAGGGTTAGGGGCTCTCGGGCTTGTTGGCGTTGGAGGCTCTGGGTGTTGGCAGGCATAGGGTTAAGGTAGTGCCCTCGCTTTAAGGTTCCGAACGTACCAGCGTCTTTGGCGCTCAAAGCCGCGACTCGAAAAGACAAACAAGACCCTGAACGATTGCGCCTATGCAATGAGCTATTCAGTGCCACCTAACTTCCATATAACCCAACTTCGGGCTTTAGACGCATCCCACGAGCAGCCATGAAGAGCACAAGAGGCAGTCGACTGGATCCTATTTAGGGGTCCAAGAATCGTACTACTTGGGATCCCTTGTTTTCTGCAGCTCTCAGATACCTTGAACCCTGACTTCCCAAAAACCACGCAGACACAACCTGAAAAAAGCCTGACCCGTCAGCGCGCTACACAGGCAAGCCGCATCAACGACGATCCTGCAAGCGAGTGTGGAGCCTAAACTGCAAACTGCAAAACCCGTTCCTTATGTTTCGGGTTTGAGCGTCGAAGGTGCTCGGGGCGATGAAATTATGATCCCTCAAAATACAATCCCCTTCGGGCACCCTCCCCCTCCCCTGAAAAAACAATGCAGGAATGCAGCAAACTGCACGGGCTTGTCTCTAGGTTCCAAGGTGCATGGCGACCTAGACCTAGACCCGAAAGTCTGGCGTGAATCCTTCGATCCGGCTTGGCCGATTAAGCTGTTGGTTCAAGTAAGTACGCCTTCAAAGCATTAGGGTTTAGCCTCCACCCGGAGAGCAATGCAAACCAGAAGCCGGCTGATAGCACTGCTGCTGCTGCTGCTGTTACTAATGCTTACTAAGGCCGCTACTGCTACTACTAATACCACGACTAAATACTACTACTCCGACTCCGACCCACACCCCGACCCCGACTCCGACTCCGACTCCGACTCCGACTCCGACTCCGACTACTACTACTACTACTACTACTACTACTACTACTACTACTACTACTACTACTACTACTACTACTACTACTACTACTACTACTACTACTACTACTACTACTACTACTACTACTACTACTACTACTACTACTACTACTACTACTACTACTACTACTACTACTACTACTACTACTACTACTACTACTACTACTACTACTACTACTACTACTACTATTACTACTACTACTACTACTACTACTACTACTACTACTACTACTACTACGACGACTACTACTACTACTACTACTACTACTAGGAAGACGAGTACACTTACACTACTACTGGTGCTGCTGCTGCTGCTACTACTACATCTACTACTATGATGACTACGAATCCGACTGCTACGACGATGACGAACTCATCCCTACAGTACTCCCTCAAATCGGAACGGCACCCAGTGGCTTCCGTACACGAAAAAACATGCACCCAGGCACCTGAGAACCCTCGCGCATACTGGCAGGCATACGAGTTTCGTCACGCCTGTGCATGCTACAAGTACTGTCTTCGAGACACCAAAAACACATGTTCTCAAAACCAGCTTGGAGTGCTGGTGTTGGTGCGTTGATTGCAATGTTGTCTGTGAACAATCCACACGGCCAGCGTGATCTAGTTCGAGTTAGGTTTTCAGCCTAGTACTGTACGAAACCAGAAAAACTAGGTGTCTTCCGATGTTCCATCAGCCAGGGCCTTGCTGACTATCCCGCTCGATTTTTTACCGGCCTTAAGTTGGGCGACTTCTCCCGGCGGGTCCGCCTAAAACCACAAACAAACATTCTGCGCTGCTAACCCACATACAAAGCCTAAATGATGCACCGCAAGCGGTGATTCGAGTCTACGGCCCCAACGTCCTGTACTCAACAGAAAATACGGCCCCGAGTCTCAAACAGACCGTCCAGCCTGCGCCATCGCCCCTCAATTCCGTCGAAAAGCTTGACAACGTACCTGCCTGCTGCAGTGATGTTGTGAGGGCCCCAGGGTTTCACAGTGTTGGTGTGAGCCAGAAACCTCTAAACCAAAAGCCGAAACCGTAGAGGTTTGGTAGGCTTCGAGTACGTCGGACAGTCGCACTTGGGATCTGGAGGTTGTTGGTGCCTTGCCTTCCTTCGTGTGACACGTGTTTTTGTTTCTGGCAGCTGTCTACTTAAATCGCTCACAGTAGGATTCAGGGTTGCCTGTCGCGCAGGTTTAGGGCTTTAAAGCCACGAACTCCATCCCTCATGGCCTCTTGGGTTGAACTCCGTACTGTCAAAGAGCTGCTGCAACGCACCCCTGTCAGGGTCTCCAGTTCATGGTAAGTCTTAAGGATTAGGTTCAGGATGTATGGGTATCGGGGTTTGGGCAGGATTTCGGGCTTGCGGTTAAGGATGTAGAGTTGGGGATTCTCGCGATGTGGGCTTACTGGTCAGTCGTTGGGCGTTCCGGGTTTCAGGGTCAACCTTAAGTCTTGGAGGCCTGGAGACCAAGAGTCAGCCCCAAACCCTGATGCCGTTGAAGCCGATGCTCTGCATTTTTGCGCCGAAGCTGCAAAACACTAGGCTCCTAAGTGCTACAATTCCAAATCCTAAAACCTGGATCCTTGGGCCTTGGGCTAGATGCAGAACTTTGAGCATGGAGGTCAGCTAACCCACGGCGCCTGCTCACTCCAGACCTGACCTTCATGTATAATCACTTAACTCCCCAGCAGCAAATCAAGACCCTAAAGGCTTCCTTCTACATTTTGCCACTAGCATCTACCTATAGTCGACACATCCCCAATCACAGCCTTCAACCCCTCGAACCCGAAGCAGAGCCTTTGTTCGCCAAGGATCGCGATGGCAGCCAGCAGCCACACGTCGCCTTGGGCACCTTCCAAACTCAAAACCCAAGTCTCTGGAAGCTTATGGCCAAGCCCGGTGCCGTAAACCCCAGGACAAAACGCCATGGCTTCCTTACACCTCTCCCTTGCACTCCTGTAAGTCATCGGAATAAAACGAAGCTTTTTCGCTGTGCTGGCTTTACACAAGCCTCCTGTGCAAGATGGGGGCCTCAGCATTCCGCCCGCAGGTCCCCAGGACCCATGCGCAGTGCTGCCAAGGTCTGTTTGCGGCCCCGATGGCCACAATTGAATCCAAAGGTGAGACAGTCAGGATTAGGCCAACGTTGTCGGCGGTTGGATCTCCACTTGGCGATAGTCCACCAATTCTAACCTCACGAAAGCTTGGATTGATGGATGTTCAGTGTGCTGCGGAATTGGAAGACAAGATCCACCCAAATATAATGTGTTCGAATGTACGATGCCTATTTATTGGAACGCGCGGTTGGCACGCGGACTCAGGAATGTGGAAAGCTGCCACGCATGGGGTGGCAAAAAATCGGTGCAAGCATTAAACCGAGAATCATTTTAAAACAGCTCACGGCTACAAACCTCCAGACTAGGCAAGTCCTCACTCAGCTCGGCACTGGTAATCAACGGCTCCGGCTCAACGCATGAGCCTCCAGCGAGATCTTCACCGCTGGAAACTTCTGGCCGGTGCTGCTTAGGAGACTGTTGTAAAGAGGAGTGCACTTCACACTCACTCGCTCGAGGGCCACGGCGACTTGCCCTTGGCCTTCGACTTCCAGCTCCTCCCAGCGCGAGCAGAGTTCCTGGAAGGTGCTGTTGAGGAGCCAAGTCTTGGAGAAGCTCTGATCCCAAGGCAAAGCACTGACAGACATGAGGGCTGAGGTGAGGACTTGCACCTTGAAGTCACCATGGCTTCGTCTGCTAAAGACCTCTGAAACGACGGCATCCAAGAGGGCCCGGAGCTCTGGGGCTGCATCGGAAGAAGCATCTTGGTCGTACTTGTAGAACTCCGCAAAGGCCCAAAGCAAGTTCGTCACCTCATAAGGCTGACAGCTGCGGAGCTGAGGGGTCGCGATTGCCGCCAGCTTGGCAAAAAGCGAGGGCCGGAAAACCCTCAGCTGCGCACAGGACCAGGCGATGATGGTGCAGCAGTTGCCAGGCAACGAGGCATCCCGGTTGGCCAGCTCCTGCTCGGCGAAGTGCTCGGCCGTTTCCAGAAGGCTGCTGAAGTTGAAGACACCGGGACTGGACGCTCGCAGAAATTCTTGCCCTCCTCGCGAGATGCGGTGGAATGACGTAGCCAAGTTCACGCCGTTCATCTGGCCAAGGTTCCTCGCCACCACCTTCAGGACCTCGAGGCTGCTCTTCTTGCCGGCCGCCACAAGCTCCCTGTTGATTCGCTTCTGTTGTGCCGAAGTCGTCGAAGCTCGGGCCGGGGTCTCATGCGCGGGCAGCACAACCACTGGTGCCTGGGAAGCGGCAGCGGACATCGGAACCTGGCCGGCGGGTCCCGAATGATCGAAGCGCACTGCCGGCGCGGACGGTTGCTGGACGTCTGGCTGGAGCATCGGCACGGGGATCTCAATGACCTGGATTCCTTGCGGCATCACCGGGACCACGGCTGGGGCAAGGACCATCGGCACAGCGATCCCGACTACGCCGAGGTTGCGCGGGGAGTTGGTCCGGGAGCCGATGTTGAGTGGTGAGTTGGTCCCGCTGCACCTGCCGAGGGACTCGCTGAGGCACTCGACATCGGACTCGCATGGGCTGGAGTTGCTGCCATCTTGGTTTGCAGTGCTGACAGAGCTGTACCTGTCGTCTTGCTCAAAGGATGACTTCATCGGGCAGGAGCGGCAGGGAAAGGTCATCTCTACATCCGTCATGATGGCTGGGCATGAAAGCGATCGGGTCATGGGCCCATCTGCCAGGTCTTCGCCGGCACCCTCGCAACAGTGCACGAAGGTGTTTTTGGTGCACACCTGGAGCTGCGAAGCGAAAGCTGCCATGGCCGCCATCCGTTAAAATTGGGACAACTAAAGAATTACGCACCTTGAAATCTTGTCTCCAGGGCGCTGGTCGGACGACCTGACATAAAAGCAACGGCCGACATGACGGCGGTTATGTGAGCATGTGCGTCACAACAAGGCACATGCCTCAGCGGCCACTGCTGCAACATGCTGCAACTGTCTCTCGTCCTCAAAAAACACTGCGTGCTGCCTTGCGCTCACTCCCAAACTTCATCGGCCCATCACCACTCTAAATCGACACCCTGACACGTGCAAGGCTTGAAATTCCTGAGTATGGACCGGCGCCTCTGGAAGCTCCCGCTAAGCCGCTATAGACCCGAAATCCAAAACAGACCCAGCCGCCCTGAGAGTTGTCGCCTTCGCAAAGCTGGCAGGGGTCGAGCTCTGACGCAACGAGCTGAATAGCCCTGCAGCAGTGCAGGATGTCGATAGTTGTAGGGGTTTTGCGAATGGTATTGGGCCCCTCCAACTTCCTGAAATTGAAAAAGAACCAGACAACTTCTTCCTAGCATCACGCCCCTTCCATTTTGCCAGTGGTGGGTTTGGGATTTGGGTCTCAGCTCGATGCAACGCGGTGCTTCTGTGAAAGTCGACATGCTTTGTCGGATATTCTCAGCAGACAAACTTCAGCTGGCGCCCAGCAATACACTGCGAAGACCCGGGCAAAGTACGAGATGTCATGGCATGGTATTGATCGCTCCGACTCCGACGAAACACATGGAAAGGCATGTTGACAATGCTGCGCCTAGTTGCATGCGAAGCTTTCTGGCGAATTATGCCGGCAGGGGCACCGTGCTTCATCTGTTGCGTGGAAGAGACAACAATTATAACAACAGACAGGGTTTTGCTACTTGCGAGTAGATGGGTTCCCTGAATGCAAAGGTTCACTACAGATGCAACACCACTCGACACTTGCGCGTCTCGCCGCTAACGACCGTGGTGTGTCGTATATACACACAAAATCACACAAACATATACATAAATATGTGCATATACATTTACATACACATATACAATCATATACAACGACATAGGCAATGCAACGCGATGCAGTGCAGTGTAGTGTAGTGTAGTGTAGTGTAATGTCAGTACAAACACACATGTATGCAACCAAGGGCCTTCACAGCCGCGTGCTTGACATCTTGGAAAACCGCAGAAGTACGGGGCTTGCAACTGTTATGTGCTATGCTTCGTCACATTCTTGTAAGGTCCTCCCAGGGCGTTGTCAACGGCCATCTGGGAGCATCAAGCTTACATACGTGACATCGGGTAGATTAGGGGCGACCTTCAAAACTCCGACTCCACAAAAAGTAAGAGTCGGCAACCGAAAGGGTTTGAGATGTAGAACAGCATGCAAGAGAAAACGACATCCTCTTTCCTCAAACACCAAGGTCAAAAGCTAATCTAACTGAATTCCTGCAAACCTTTCTCTGCGATCCTTAAACCGAAACCCTCGCGCCCGATGGGTTCAGCTCTGCGCCTCTTGCACAAGCGCCGCGTGGCACGAAGCCACACGACCTCTCAAGAGCTGAGGATTGAGGGTCCAGGTGGTTGGCGCACAGCAGGGCAACCTGCTAAAGCTCAGAGCCAAACTTCCACACGCCTGAAGCCCTCAATGTAACACCCGTTCCTTGGCTGGATATGTTGCGGGGAGGGGGGCCGGAGCCCACTGCTTTTCGTGGTGGGGTGGGGTGTGGAGAACCCTGATCTGGGTCTTGCTTTCTAGTTATTTTCCGCCCATTCCGATAGCCCGGCCAGGCCCAGCAACCTTTCCCAAGTCGTCGACGCTCCAAAACGTGCACTGTAGCAGCACCTGAACAACCCAGCAAGAACAGACTAAACCTTGAACCATAAACCAGAAACCAGAGTTCGTCAGTACAAACCCCAGAAACTTTGCTAATTAACCATGATCGAGAATCCAAAACCCCAAACTCCAAACCCTCGAAGTCGCCCGGCCTCCTCCACAACATCCCCCAAAGTCGCAGCGTTGGCAGGAAAGCTGGGGTCGGCGAATAGCCCAGACCACCTGCAAGGGCTTTAAGGTTGAAAGGCTTCGGGTCAGACTGTATACGACCTGGAGCCCTTTCGAACCCCGCAACCCCGATCACATCGAGACCTCTGCATCCCACTAAGACCTCGACCCAGTTTTATTCAGATTGGGCTAGGGTTTGATTGCCCCCGAAGTGCGGAATTTGACCTGTGGTTCGGGGCAAGGAGAAGGAGAGGCACCTTCTTCTCTGCACCTGCTGGGTTGTTGCTGTTGATGATGATGCTGTTGCAGCCGCAGCAGATTTACTATATAGTGATCCTAGTTCTGTTGACGCGTGGTGTTGTCGGACTATGCTTCAGCTTGAACCCAAATGCAGCCAGAATTACACTGTGCGGATTTGGAACTGGCACCCAGAGAGCCTCAGACCCCTAACAAAGAAAGCGAAAAGAGGGATGCTTGTGGTAGATTTCTATAATCGGGGAGATGCATATAGATGCCATGCCTCCCGCAGCAACGGATGGAACATACTCCTGAGCTGTATAGGTTGGAGTCCATTGGAGGAATGCGAGTATTTGGGTTTTAGACGTCAGGGATTGGCGCGTGTAGCAAGGGTTTTCGGACAACGCTCCTCTGGCCGCCAAACGGATTGGACCATGGACGTTTTCACGGCTAGACCATGGATGCTCTGGCCTCAAAGCGGACTAAGACCACAGGACTTGTCTTGCCGCAAACCTTATCTTGGTGGGGACTACATGGCTTGGAAAACGGATGGCAGGCATGGATGACGCTGGTAATCGCTACGTCCTTCTCAACTCCAACTCTCCAGAGTCCCAGAGCCTGGATGAGCTCCAAAGCCCTCCCCTGTGAACCCTGCAAGTCCCTGAACCTTGAAACAATCAACTCCGAAATCCTGATCCCGGAAACCTAGATTCCGAATTGCACCCAACGCCGCAAACCCCGAAATACCGGGAAGCTTTAAAGCACCTCTATAGTGACTCTATCAAAAATGATGAGAACCATGGCGGCATGTTTTTGGTACGTTTTCTTATGAGTCCAGGTTCGGGCCTTGTTGTGCTTTTTTGGATTCATGCATCATCTATGCACGCGTGACTTTCCACCCAGGCTCATGTTTAAGCATCCAGTCCGGCTGGAAGAATTTGAATGGCCGCGAAGCTTAGGGGTTTAGGACATCATTCATGTGTATTTCCATGTTTGTATTAAATTGTGCTGTGCACGCTGTAGCTGCTCTTCAACACGAAAATTGTGGTTTGAGGAATGCCATGTTGCTCTCAACAATTCTGTGTTGCATCCTGCCGCAATGGACGCAGCATGCTTTCGAGATCCCGGCAAACGCGAACTAATGCCAACATGCCGACGATCGTAACTATCGCATGCTTGTCATATATCTAATTATGACTGCCCACACTTAGTATCTTCACAAGTACATACACTTGCTTTTAATAAAGTAACAAGCCCAACACTCTGTCCTTTCGGGCTCGGTCCGTGTTTCGCGCTCGGAACCGGATTCACACCGAGTCACTCAAACACCCGCAGCAATAGATGGCACAGCTCCAGAACGTCAGTACGCCTCAGGACTGCAACTAGATGGGTTTGGACGGGCTTTACATCAATTTTAGAGGACCTTGTCGAATTACCACAACCAACCTCAGGTGCACACGACTCACTAACCTGTTGAAATGCTAGCGACCTCACCCCTTCGAGCCTGCACTCTACCTGCACCGTCACTGAACATTCAACGAAACCAGGATTTCACCAAGTAGCTGAACTTCGCAGTACTTGCTGGAGAAATGACACAAGAACATAAATCATCATGGCCGTTATCGTCAACAGCATCTGACCACCTTTAACATGCTCCGGCCGGTTCGTTCTTTTCCTAGCAGCACCCCCTCCGCCAGCTGAACAGCTGGTACCCTCGCTCTGTGTCTGTCTGTGTGTGTGTGTGTGTGTCCCTCTCTCTCTTCCTCTCTTCTTCCCTCTCAACTAGCACATGGCACGCTCGACGTCCGGATTTGCCTCCGGTGCCCACCCCAGGACATTTACCCCCGTCAAAGGCACGAACAACTCGGAACCGCACCATGAACAGACAAAATTCTCCGTAGGTCGATCCGTCTTCATCGAAACACAATGCATCCATTATCGGCAAGTTGATGCGGGGCATTCATAACCAAGACAAACTTCAGAAATACATCATATCTGGTCATGTTGTACCATGTTGGTGTAGAAGTGCCGGCCATACGAACTCTCGAATGAATCGCTGAACCCTCCAATTCCTCAGTGCTGACTTTGCTAATGAAGGCGTGCGCATGAGTCTCCGGTATCCATGATGGCCGCAATGCTTCATTTAAATGCCGTCAGTATAATGATGCACCCCTTGGAACAGGGCTTCGAGAAAAACACACCGCACGATCTGTGCGACAACTGAAGGGAATTGTGTTCTTGCGCTGGAGGATTCAGGACTCCGTCATGTAGTATCTGAGGGCAATGTCCTGAACTCGCGGCACAGAGCACCCAAAGCAGGTCTCAAACCCCAAATTCCCGACGCCAAACCCACCATGGCCCAAAGACTTGAAGGGCCCCTCTGCCAAGCCAAGCTGCACGGTGCGAAGACACAGTTCCACAAGCAACATGCCTTGCCGTACCTCAGGGTCCCTTCTTGGGCTGCTTATGTCAAGGTCTCTGCTACTTCCGACAAACAATGTGGTAACGTTACGAGCAGTTCTTAAGTTCGGAGTAAAGACACAAACTCGCTGACGGGCGAGGCACGTTCCGCAGGTGCCCAAGGCTGTTTCGGGTCTCCCGCTGTACATGTTCCACACTCCCGCTCCGGCTTCATCTGCCGGCGAGGCAGAAGTGATGATTCGACAAGTGTAGACCCCAAACAGTGAGAGAACTCTAGAAGTCCAAGCCCTGCATCCACAACCTATAAGATGACATATAATCCATCCGTCAAGGTCATGTTCAAGACTCTCCCTGTGTCAGATATCACTGCGCACGAGAGCTTTGCAGCTTCACCCCGCCTCAAGTGAACTTTAAAGTAGAAAATCGCACGCCGACGAGGCCACTCGGCACATTGTCGAACGACAGTCGAGTGCCTAACCTTCAGCCGAAAGCCGTTGCATGCAAATGAAGCCCCCAAAGTAGATGTAGAGCCGGCTTGTAGGCACGTCACAGTGTCACGCAGCAGGCTGAAACTTCGATTCAGAAAGGTCACGGCACCCCAGGCAAAACCGAACGATGTGTTGTCATATGTTCGGGCTGCCGCTGAAAATAGTTCCTGGATTTCAGCGTTTGCGGGTAGATTGGTCATCGCGATTCAAGTACAAAGAAACTGAACTAAGAATCCGGAGCCCGCCGAGCCGTAAAGTATCCAAGGGGCAGCAAGTCCGTCCAGCAGCACAGGGTCGTCCTGATCTATCGGTGCTGGCAAGCCCGCAAGAATCGAGCTTCTTATGCCCCCAGAGCTCAACCCCCTACAGCTACAGGTCATGGGAGCGGCAGAATGTTACGACCTAAGGGTTTGCGGCTTGGGTGTCGCGCCCGTTCGTTTTAGGAACAGTAAGTCAAGCTTTCAGTGCGAATCCGATTCCTGCAAAGTTTGTGGCTTTCGGGTTATTGAGGGTTCTAAGGTTTTGGGTTTCGGCATGAGGGCTTTACGCTTGTACGATTCACAGTACAGTGTAGGATTGTCTGCAGGTTTCGGACCACAGCCTTAGGAGACCTCGACTTTGACTTAACTCTTAACTTCATGAAAACCTAAGCCTCAAACTCGAATTGAAAATTGAAGCCTCGTGGCATGCATTGTGAAATCCCGGGTTCACCGTGCGGAGTAGGGTGTCAGATATCTCGACGTGTCGGATCGGATAAAGTATGGCGATTTAAGGTATCTATGGACTCAGGTCCTGCTTGTGGCGATCTCGTTTTATGGGTGGGACACCACACCAAATCCTGCACCCCAGATGCTAATCAACAACCAAGCAGATGAGCCGAAAAAGGAACTACATTGGATAGTACAGGTACAGAGCGCCCTGAACCACAAGCTGGTGGAGACTGAGCCCAATGGAGATCCTACAGACAAGGGACTGGGGGCTTGGGATTTGGGGGTTTAGGCTTTGGGTTTACTTTGATAACAGTTTAATTTAGGTCTATGGTGTTCAACAGGCCTAGGAACGTGTTCGGGTGGTTTCGAAGACAATGCCCGCTCGTCTTGCAGACTCTGGAATACAACAGCAGGATCACTGCGTTGCACCCTTCAATTACATGCGTCCTTTAATCCTTGACTATGATCTCTTTTGGCCAGAAACTCCTCCGAAAGGATCCTCCTGGCTTATCCCAGCCGACATACCCTAGAGATCGAAATCTGCAGCCCGAAAGTTTAGCCAACTGGATCCTGCACAGTCTGGGGCCAAGCTTCCGAACACAGGAGGGCATCTAGCTCCCATGCTGCGTCGAGGTTGCTGCTGCTTAAGATTAGAGTGCAGATCATTGGGTTTAGGGTGCGTGGCCTGGGCTTGGGGTAAGTCGGACTGACAGACTTGAGAGCTACGGCTTGAGGAAACTTGATACTGTTGCAGGGCGACAACAATGCTGTTAAAGGCCGCAATGAGGGAGAAGGTGCTAGGGAACCATATTTACCTTGCGATGCGAAATCAATATGCACCCAGCACAATAAGTATACCTAAATTCTAAACCCTGCCACCATGGATCCTAACTGTGGCACCTGACATGGCCTTCTGGCCTTGAGCTGTTCCGGGAGAAAGTTGTTCGAGGAAGGAGTAGGTCTGGAGCTGGTCGAAAATTGGCCCGTGAACTCCGAAAGCGGTGTAATCCAGAGACCCAGGCCGCCCTTCATCCCCCGAGCACTTTCCAACATCAACTGCATCTACTCGAAAACCTGCCCTGGAGACTGGGCGGCACCTCGCATTTTGCATGCCGGTCGGGTGCACTAGACGCATGAGGTTC